CCGGCCGCGCGCCGCCGGCGGGGCGGGAACCGCCCTGACTGACTGACTGACTGGAAAAAGGCGGGCAAAGCCTTCTCAGCCTTCCAGCTGGGGTTTGGTTTCCTCGCTATTCTTATCCTCGCATAAGGGGATCGTATCCTCTATCCTCTCATAACCAGAACTGCGCTGTCACCAACAGGGAGGGGAAAAAAAAATAAATCTGAAGAGACGCTCCTGTCGCGCACTCCGCCATTAGTATTTCTAAATACCAATGCAGAAACGCGTAGCTTTCCGTTGGTTGAGCAGAAATATTCACCGTTACCGCCTCCTTCCCCTGCCAGCCGCAGATGAACCAACCCGGCTGATCTGCCTGTTTTACTGCTGAGTAACAAATGGGGTACTTGAAGCCACACTTTGAACTTCAGGGTGTCACAGGATGGCTGAGGCGGGAAGGGACCTCTGGAAGTCATCTGCTCCAACCTGCCTGCCCAAGCAGGGTCACCAGGATCGGGCTGCCCAGGACTGTGTCCAGACGGCTTTTGAATATCTCCTAAGGGTGGAGAGAGACTCCACAGCCTCCCTGGGCAACCTGTGCCAGTGCTCGGTCACCCTCCTGGTGAAAAAGTGTTTCCTCACGTTCAGAGGGAACCTCCTGCGTTTGGTTGTGCCCATGGCCTCACGTCCTGTCAACCTGCAAAGCTGTGTAATCAGAGATTGCTTCACTCCTCTCCAGCTATGGCCGTGCACAGGAATGAAGGCCTTTAAATCGCAGCCTGCAGCACGACCGGGGGAAACACCTTGCCCGTTACGAAGGTGAATAAGCACAGCCACAGCAGGAATTTGACTCCTGTTTGAACCGATGCTGCAAATTCCTATGAAGTCTGTCTGTCAGCAATGCGTGGCAGGAATTTTTGCAATGTGCCCATGAAGCGTGTTCTTAAGGGTGATGCCCTCCAAATCACCCTGCCCGCACCTGCTTAAATTAAAAGGAAACAAAATCCCAAACCTCCTTTACCCCCCTCCCTCCATGCCAGCCCATCACCACCATCCGCACCTTCTCCACGGCCCATGGCCTCGTACCCTTCTACCTCCAACTTGCAAACAACTGCATGGTCTTAGCCTGCTGTTGCCCACAGCACTGCAGTGGAAGGGAGTAGCCTTGCCGGTCTTGTCCTCTAGTCTGTCTGCTGATCCCTTCTTTGTCGGTATTTTGTGGGGAACGGTGTTCCCCTCGCTTCTTCACACGGCTGGACATCCCCCAGCCTCTGCCTGCAGCCAGGAGAGGGAGCGGGGGTCTCCCACAGCTGGAGATGCTCCAGGACCATTCCTCCCTGCTCTGAGCTGGGCTGGGAAGAGTTTTTCAGGACACCCACCCAAGGAACCAGCAGGAACGCTCCAGCTGCTGACGAGGGAAGGGGAGAGGAGGGACTGGTGGTGGCACATCTGCAGCGATACGCTCCCCGAGAGCAACAACCCCTGGGGACAGTTGCCATTGCAGTGGGAAAAAGCTCAAAGTACAGCAGCTGCACGAGTGGCCATCAGCCACCTCACGCCAACCACAGGCTGCTGTATTTTTGAGGAGAGGAACAGCACTTGTAGAGTTGTTTTAAACAATGGCATGTCCGTATAGATTTAGAGCTCCTAGGCTTTCTTCCTGTAGAAATGAACCCAGCTATTTATTCCTTGCGACTCCTATAACCACTTTTTAATGCAATTAGCTTTGCTATTGGGAAAAATGAAATACATCTATTCTCTCCCTTTTTTCTCTATTTAATGAAAAGTAAAATTTTCCTTTGTGAAAGGTTACCTCTAAGAAAGGTCCTGTCCTGCTCATCACAACTGCCCTAAGAGTTGCCAGGGGAGGAACTGAATGTCTGGGTAGCTATAGGCATTTTCAATAAATATGCACAGTGTGAGAATGCAGGGCAAGCACACTGGCTGCAAACTTCACTGAAATAATGAGCATTTAAAGTAATTAGCAATACTAACATTTTAAACATCACGTTAAAACTTTGGCATTCAACATCCCATTTGCGCCCCTCAGATCTGTTCTTTCAGGCTGTGGGGCAATTCTGGAAAACAATACTGCTTTGATTGTTTTAGGATATTCTTATTCCTCAGGAAGCTACAGTTTCTGAGGGGGATACAAAGGGAGGTTTTGTCTGGCTTCCAAGGAAAGCTCAGAAAGCTGAAGCAAAATTATTCACCAGAGCATTGACTGAAAATTATAATATTTATGGGCAAATCTCCCCAAAATTATCTCCAACTACAGTCATCTGGGAACTAACCAATTTTCTAGGTCTTCTGTATAGTTGCTCCACTTTACGTTTTGAGCTGGGAAATAACACCCACACATCCCAAAGGAAGTAAAACTTGAAAGCGTTACTGTTACTTTCAGTTCAGGCTGATTCTATAAACCTGAAACATGTTATTCAGGATATGCTTTTGTCAGGGCTAAGTGACTGCATTCACAACCCACAGATGCCTCGAGGCAATCCTGCGGCTGGAGTCGAAGAGTATTTTCCAGCCTTAGTCTTCATGATGGGTGGAAGACACCCCTTTCTCCTTCATTTCTTTGGGGTGCAGGAAGCAAAGCAGAAGAGAAGAAACTGCCTTAATTGATTGTCACTCACCCAGTCAGTCTAACACTCTCCTACCATGAGAATACTAACTAGTAGTATCTTGGCCAGGAACACCTTTATTTTTTTTCAAAGGTTGCATTTAAAGAAGCCTAATAAACAGTTTCTGGCTGTCTTTCAGACCTGGAGGCTGTGAACCTTCATTTATTATTTATACAATACTATTATCATCCTTTATTTTGCAGGTGTGACAACTCCCCCTGTGCCGAGAAGATTGCTCCTCTTTTCCTCTGGTATTGAAAACATTCCTGAGTGCATGAAAGAGAGAAAACAGTGAAGGCAATTCTACGTTCACACGCACAGAAACGTTCACAAGAAGCATCATCATTAAAGGAAGATCTGGAGCTACTGGGTAAATTCCTCACTACATGTTCCCTTCTAATTTGGCAGTTCTGACTCCAAATCCTAGAGAAATAAAGATCTAATGAGCCACACGTAAGTACCTGGGAGGCAACAGTCAGATCAGTAGCAAAAGCTTGATGATGTACAGAAAATAAGCAGCTTTGCTCCAGCTTGGCCATGTTCTTTGGATGGGCTGATGCCCTCCTAGGTGACATTAATGAACAGGCAGGACAGTAACCAAACATCACCGCCTGTGCTACCGATCCGCAGAGAGCATCCCTCATTTCGAGTGTGCAGATGCAAGTGCAATCACTGCTCAGATGGCAGAGCACCTACAGCAAAAAGTGCTACTCTGCCATCTCTTATCATTTCACCGTAGTAAAGCAGCAGGAAATGCCGTGACAATTCTGCACGCCATTCATGGGGAAGGTTAACTATGACTTATTTTACAAGTGAAGTGCTGTGGAGTGGCTTTGGCAAACTGCTTAGGGTGTGCCTATACAAATCCCACAACACTGTTCACTGCAGCTTTGTTATTTCTTAGTTCTGTTGGGCTAGATAACCACTCCATCTGCCTCTCACTTGATGTCAGCCTGCCCCAAATGTTCCTGTTTGGTTTGTGATGGACAGCTGAACAGTTTGCCAAGATTATAAAAAAAAAGTATGATACTTTAAACAAGCTTTGTGAAGGACAAAGATGTGCTGGAAACACCAGCAAAATTGATTGGAGTGTCTATAGGTTATTTCAAAGTAACTACATAGCAGGAGCAATAAAATGCAAATTCAGTGACAAGGATGCTCCTCTCTAGTGTTTAAGGAATGACTCCAAACAGTAAGACGGACTGGCAGGAACAGCGAGAGGTGTGAGGATTTCAGCCAGACAGCTTTCACTGCCAAATTGTGGCAACTCCAGTTCCAGTGGTATCAACAGAATGGGAAGAAAAGAGATCGAAGAATTAAATGGCCACTAAAGACAAGATGAAAATAGGCTAGTATTTGTTAAAAATACAAACTTAGAATTAATAGAGGACAATGAGGAACAGGAACAACTGAATGATCTAGAAAATGGCATAGCAGGAACAGGACAGGATTTAGGAGCACCAAAAACTTATCTGTAGAAAATATCTGACAAGACTATGTACCCCAGCTGATGACAGGATCCCCAGGAGGCTGCAGCAGGGAAGATGATTGCAGTCAATGGACTAAAAGCTAATGCCACCATACAAACTCTGTTAAGACCCCATCTGGAAAAGCGTGCGTGTTTCTGTTAAAGGAATATATATTCTCTTCTGTTATAGGAAAAATGAACTGAAAGGCAAATATGCAAGAATGGGGCAAGTGGGTGTAATACAGTCTGTCTGTCCTGGTTTCAGCTGGGATAGAGTTAATTGTCTTCCTAGTAGCTGGTACAGTGCTATGTTTTGAGTTAGGTATGAGAAGAACATTGATAACACACTGATGTTTTCAGTTGTCGCTAAGTAATACTTAGTCTAAAGTCAAGGATTTTTCAGCTTCTCAAGCCCAGCCAGCGAGAAAGCTGGAGGGGCACAAGGAGTTGGGAGGGGACACAGCCAGGACAGCTGACCCCAACTGGCCACAGGGGTATTCCATACCATGTGATGTCATGCCCAGTATATAAACTGGGGGGGGGGCGGGGGCAGGGGGATTGCCGCCCGGGGACTAGCTGAGCGTCAATCGGCGGGTGGTGAGCAATTGCATTGTGCATCATTTGTACATTCCAATCCTTTTATTATTACTGTTGTCATTTTATTAGTATCATTATCATTATTAGTTTCTTCTTTTCTGTTCTATTAAACTGTTCTTATCTCAACCCACGAGTTTTGCTTCTGTTCACGATTTTCTCCGCCATCCCACTGGGTGTGGGGGGAGTGAGTGAGCGGCTGCGTGGTGCTTAGTTGCTGGCTGGGGTTAAACCACGACACTGTCCTGAAGAAGGCAAGAGCCTCCTTAAAAAAATTTACCAAAATAAAGGCAGAGGAAGTATTAACTAGTTGTTGTTA